CCTAAACCCCCAACCCCTAAACCCATAACCCCTAAACCCCGGCTAAACCCTAACCCCCTAAGCCCTAAACCCCTGAACCCCTAAACCCTAAACCTAAACCCTAAAACCCTAAAACCCTAAACCCTAAATGCGCGGCCACCTCCCAGTCGTGAGGATCCGACATCACCGAGGCGGTGGCTCGCGCGGTCGAACCTGGTAGCAATCTAGGAGTTAGGGTTTCGGGGTTTAGGGTTTAGGGGTGTAGGGTTTAAGGGTTTAGGTTCGAGGGTTTAGGGTTTAGGGATCCCAAGGGTTACAGGGACTTAGTAAGAATGGGAAAGAAAGTGGAAAGTACTAAGGTTATTTAGGGTTCAGAGTTTAGGGTTCAGGGTTATGAGGTTTACTTGGAGGGCAAGGTGGACTTAGTAAGTACAGCAAAAACCCCACGGACCATGTAGTAACCCTAGTTATCCCCACGCTTACATAGCCTACTTATTAAGTACCCCTGACCCTCCAAGTAGGGTTTGGGCTTCAGGGTTCAGCTATAAACGGGTTCAACCCTAACCCCTAAACCCCTAAACCCTAACCCCTAAACCCTAAACCCCTAAACCCCTGAACCCCACCCCATTACCAACCCAAGGGACCCAAGTATACAAATAACACCTACATTGGGCCCTAAAGTCTGTAAATGTTACCTGCATTGGGGCTATTTGGATCCCTTGGGCAAAGACTCCACATTGTGGTCATTCTTAAGAAGGGTTTTAGGGTTTGGGGTTGGTTGCTTGTTCTCATCACTCCTTTCTGTTGTGCTGGCCAGGCTTAAGCCTTAGACCCTAAACCCTAAGCCCTGGTTATTGCATGGGTGTATCGAACAGCAGGGATGCTCTCAGTAAAGCACGACTTGAGGAAACCCACTATGTCATGAAAGCGGTCTTGCCAAGCACCTGTGTCGGATGCCTGGCAAAATTCTGAAAACCTGAACCCTAAACCCCAAACCTTGAACCTTAACCCTATAGCCGCCACTGCCTCTTGCGACCTAAAACCACTGCCTCCTGTTTGTGTTACAAACATGAACTTGTAGTAGTGAACCCCCATGCTTCCCAATGTTTGGCGTATTGAGCTTTATACAGGATTTGTAATACCCACCTTACCCAACCCCTACTTTACCTTGCTTTTGGAAGCGGAATCAATAAAAATCACAATCTTGACCTCTGTCGAGGAACTTAAGCTAAGTTACCATAATATGGACTTACCGTAAATAGTGGCGTTTGCCTATACTAGTGGCATAATGTAAAGTCCTTAGCAGCCACCAACGTGCACTTGGAGGTTGAATTTATGGCCAGCTATAAGCAGGACACTGTACGCAGGGCTAAGGTACCCCAAGGGTAAAGGCTAAACCACGTGTACACTCATCCTCTGTAAAGCCAAACTAAACGTTGAGTCAAGCCATGAATTGACAGTAAACCATAAAGTTTCATTAAAATGGTAGCTTGAAGTAAGTTCCTTAACAGCAGACAAGCAAAGCTTTGCACAACAACGACCGATGAAACAGGTCTGTGTCCACTCGGTGGCGAATGTTCGTTCCATTGGCGCTGACATCAACAGACTTCTTGGTGTTGCCTATGGGCATGAAGACCTGAAGCGGTTCAAGCGTTTAGGGTTTAGGGTGCATGGTGCTCCGTTATGCAGAGCCCTATGGAAATGCAAACGTCCAAGCTTGTGTTCAACGTTCTCGGCGCCTCCCCTATTATACTGTGATTAATAGAGCAGTTTCCATGCTGGAAACACTCAATCCTTCTAAATTGAAAGAAGAGACCCTAAACCCTAAGCCCTAACCCTAAACCCCTGAACCCCAAACCTTATACCCGCAACCCTATACCCCAAACTGCTCCAGTCAGACCCATGGCTAGAAGTGACGTGCAGGAATATAGGAGTCTCTCAATGGAGAGGTACATGTTGTAAGGCAGGCATGGATATCAACGGATTGGAAGGGGATTCGTGGTGCTGATGAGGGATTAAAAGAGTATTTTCTAACATGCTCATAAACGTCTATGTCGTTCTTAACTGTAAGATCTTGAGAGCTACTTGCAACAGCACAGGTGTGGTTTAGGCATAGAACCGTTCTGATTCATAGTGTAAGCTAACATGACCTTCCCTGAAATCCTGGCAGAAATTATGAGTTGAGCCCCTCACTATCCTGAGGGTCCACGTAACTAGTTATTGGGTTCTTGGCATTTTGGTGCTAGCAGTTGTAGTCCAGGCTGTGGGGAAGCATGTGATTTCTGGTACCAAGACCCGGATTCCAGCAAAACGTGCAACAACTCCCATTCTGCAGGAATGGGTACTATGCCACTGTATTGCTATTATTACTATTTGTTACTATCCTACTACGCGAGGCCTCGTGTCGCCATTGCGCATTGCCTGAGCTGACATCGATGGACTTCTCATCGATGGACTTCTTGGTGTTGCCAATTGGCATGTTGACATCGTGCCGCCATTCCTTAATCGGTTTTTGGAAAAACCAGAAGGCGGCAATCCCGTACTACATTACAATCCTTGTTATAAGGACCCCAAATGGTCCGAATGTCCTCTTATCCGCACCATGGCAACTCCCTTGGTGGGCTTGACTGTGGGACTAGCATGCTTTTCAAGGTGCAAAGTCCTTTTTCATTGGCATCTTCACGTCGTGTCGCCAGATAACGTTCCGCGAAGACGAATCGGAGTTCCCACCGATGATGTTCCCGTAGATTATGCTGTCCTGAGTCTTCCAGCAACCGTGGAACACCCCAGTCATCATGCTCTCGGTTGGCTCAGGCCACTCACAACCCAAGATAGCCCCAAAAAACACCAAAAAAATCACTGCTGTAGGAAGAGCATCTTTGACGGTGATGGATTGGTATCTAGGCTCAGCTTCATCAGCTGCTCCATCCTCCACCTTATCCTTCCCGGAGAATAAGAGACTGTTGACTGCGCCTGTTAGCTTTGAGAGCTCCTTGCCACGAAGCAGAAGCATATTTAGGAGGTTCTAGCTTGAGTCAATCCCCCACCCAGTAATGGGCACCCCAAGGTACTCTTGTAGGTATATTAAGGCCCTAGTAACTCCACATTAAGGAGCCATTACTGTAAGGGGGATTGACCTAAGTTCTAGCGCTATATAGGTTTTAGGGTTTCGGAGTAATGGACTACAACCAGTGGAAAAGAAAAGAGAAATTCATGGATAATTGAATGAAAAAGAAAATCGGACATGAAGTGAAAACTGGAGTATATAGTGGTTCATTGGGATTTAAGGTTTCCAAAAAGGTGTTCCATTGTGGGTGGCCATGCAGTGAGGATGATGATATGTTGGGGTGTACAAGGAGGACCCTCTTTTTTTCACATGCTCAGTTGGGAAGGGCGCCTACTATCCGCACAAACTAACATGAGATCGTTTATAGCCACGGGGAACTCGCACTGTGCCATGGTCTTCGCTCCCGCTAAGAAAGTAGAAAGAGTTTAGGGTTTATGGTGGGTGAAGCGGCAATAAAAGAAGAACTGCATCCTGTAGAAGCCTCAATAAATACCAATATCAAGCGCTTATGGTTCTTATGCAACTATAACCACGCCAAACCCTAAACCGGAAACGCTAAACTCTTAGCCCTAAAACCTTCACCTGATTGCTGCTTTCAAGCCAGACTTGTTTATCGATGAATTCTCCCTTAGAGCGCACCTTGTAGACTCTTAAATCCTCGGTGAAGGGTAGGGACCCTAAACCCTTAACCCGCCCCTGCAGCCTGCCCATTACCAAACTCGAAAAAAGTGAATGGGATCAGTGGTTTAAGGTAAAGGGTTTCTCCCACGACTCTAAGTTCCTGGCACCCTGGTAGAAATTATGATTTCAGCTGGTTCTTAGGATTATCGATAACAGAACTTTGAACTCATCACGTAACTTCCCGAAGGCTTCAGCAAAGGGACTGCAGGCTCTACAGAAATATGGATGTTTGCGATAGATGGTTGAAGTGCTCTTGCGTAGGTCTCTGTTCGGTGGTTATAAAGCGGAAGCACGGCTGAAACCCTAAACCCTAAACTCTAAACCCTAAACCTAAACTCTAAACCCTAAACCCTAAAACCTAAACCCTAAAACCCCAAACCCTAAAGCCTAAACCCTAGGACCAGGACCAATGCAACAGCGTGAGCCCTAAGTTCAAGGAGAGTGATCAAATCCGTGGGTTCCAGCAGCTGGGGAGGATCCCCAAGAGTTTAAGGGTTTAGGGTATAGGGTTTAGGGGGTTTAGGGGTTTAAGGTTTAAGGGTTTAGGGTTTAGGGTTCAGGATTTAGGGTGTAGCGTTTGGGGTTTACGGTTTAGCAACCTGTTGAACTGTACTGGATTTAAAGCTGCTCTCAATGCATGAAATTCGACACACCATGATAAGAGAAGCAACCCCAAATGCTGAGCCTTCAGCCCAAACCCCTAGGTTTCATTCCCTATCTTCAATCTTCGGTTGCACATCTGGCAAAAAAAAACCGAAATCGCTTACTGCTGCCTTTTCGTGCTCGGCTGCAGCCTTCAACAGCTTCTTCAGTTTCGAGGCTTGACTCTCCTGAGGCCGCTGGGAGTGTGACATTTAGGGATGAGGTTTAGGGTTTAGGCTGGGAGTGTGACATCCAGTGCAAAAGCACATGGACAATTAACATGAAAACTGCGTATTGCTAGGGATGTGGGCTATTCTCAAAGTTATGGGCCCCTCTTGGTTATAGATTATCATACGGCACCCAATACCGAGGGCTAACAAAATAGGACGCGGACTTTGGCAACTACCCTTGCAGGCTTTTGATTTCAGGGTCAGCTTGCTGCTTGTTAGTACTGACTCGAAGGATTGGAAAATATGCGAACAACTGTTCTGAGGATTTTGCGTTTAGGGCAAACTGGCATGGTCATGGCGGCTATCTAGTGGCTACTATAGCATCTACTATACCCCCAGGGATACATTCCTGCATTCCCTACGATCATCCAGTACGTTCGGGGGAGAGGAAAGTTGCTTCTGGAAGAGGCTGGGGGATTCGGGAATCAGAGCTTGACAAAAGTAGGTGGTCTTCAGATTTACACGGGCTATCTAGGATTTGGGGTTAATGGATTGGCGCTTTTCTGAATGGAAGGCCTCATGCAAATAAATACCTCAGCTTGTGCCAAAATCGCTGAACTTGGGCCATCAGGGATGGGAGTATAGGGTTTAGGTTTCGGCTAAAGTTCAGGGTTTAGGGCTCATTCGGGCCTGACCAGCCAGTTCCTTCATGCATTGCAGCCTCAGCTCCAATCGCCGAAATAAACACATTGCATGGCAGCGTGCCGCCAGTATGCTGGGGGCCTTCATATTTGGAATAAGAATGTGCTGTTGGGAAATAACTATGCAGGCTTCTGCTTTACTCTGCTCCTGCATGCCTCTTTATTCTGCTTCTTCGTCTCTTCTAATACGTTCAAGGAAATAGATTTCTGACCCTTACTACTGTTCTTCCTCTATCACCACGCAATTCCACTGCTACTGCATCATCTGCTGCTTGCAGCTGCGACTACTGCTACGGTTGCTGGCTGCGAGTACGACAAGTACTACGTTGCTACTTCAAATCTGAACCACCTCCTCCTCCTGCTGTCCTAGCCATGTGCGTCGCAGCGATTGTGATCCGGTCCTTGCAGCACTAGTATTCTCAATTCTCAATAGACCCTCACACCTGACATTTAAAAGCCCACAAGCGGATGCCGCCATGTAGCCTCATCCTTTGACTCATCGACTTCGTGCTCGTGCCGCCTCCTCAAATAGCTTATCCTAAATTTCAGAATACCCGGGCATCAGTCATCCACATAGATTCAGGATTAGAATTGAGGGCCTCTGTATGCGCTTATGTGCTTTTAGGCTTCAGATGACTAGAATGATACTTCTGGTGCCAAAAGGCACCTCCATGTTTGCGATATTTGTATGGATGGCTCCTCAGGGTCAATTCCTCCTCAAGGCCCTGTGGCAGACAGCCTAGCTGCCCTGAATTTTGGATTGTACCGAAGTCATGCTGAGTTGCATGTTTTCTTGGAGCCTCAAGCAACCTTCAGTTTCAGGTGGGAGTTCGGCGCTTCATTTTAGAAGGGGTGGGTGCTTTCTACCATGCTTCGTTGTTCTTCAAGGTGTTCTGGCATTAAGCTGCTATATGTAGTGCGTGCGCCTAGATGGAACGTGCTGTATCGGGTTTCAGGTCGACTGTTGACCCACCAAAGTCCTGACCCTTCAAACCCAAAACCCTAAACCCTAAACCCTCTGAATCAAAATCCCCAAACACGAACCTTTCATCCCAGGCCCTACATTTCCATTATCCCAATGAAATTTAGGGTTTAGGGTTTAGGGTTTAGGGACCATTTTATTTTCCATTATCCCAA